ATTAAAAACACAGCAAATATTTTTACGAATCATGGCTCTGTGAAACTGCTTTATTGCCACCTTTATCACAAATTGCTAATAACATGTGTGAAAAAACAGAACAGAAAGAAAAACAGTAGTTTTTCTTGTATAAATTGTGTAAGAATATTAGCGGTTTCTCCCTCTTTTTTTAAGTGTTTTAAGAGGTAGTTGGTGGCCTTCCCTCGTAAGAGTTAAAGGACACTGTCGGATAAAAGTACATATTATCTAATCGTAAATGAACGTATATTATTGGAGTAATTATGATAAATGCAACCAAAATAACTGAATAGAACTTAAACCATTTAATTTCAGAAGGAAACCTGGAGTAAAGTGACTAAAACTTGCTCTATTCTCCATATGAATTGTCAGTCATTTGACCTTAATTTAGATTAATTGATTAAAAATTATGAAAAGCAAAAGACAGTCATGTCTTTTCCTCTTTCTTCTTTGGAGTGACTGTGATGACACAAGTGCTTTTCATTGGGTAATTATGATAAGCCCGTGTCAATCACATGGATAGATAGAAAAAAACTTCATCGTATCTCCGAAGCCAATTTTGATGCTATACTAAATGATAAAGTTGTTTAGCATCTTATAATCAGTTTAAGACCCCTGTTCAGATTATCTTCATCCAAAGACCAATTAAATAACAATGAAATCATATTAACTGATGGTGCTAAGAAATGCTCTTAGCATCGTGCAAAAATGTGCCGAAAAGCGCTCAGTTCAGTCGCATCAACCGACTACTTTTAATCGATAAACTAAGACGTGAACATGGAGCGCTAAGGTATGCCTATTGAGACCGTCCATGTACCGTAGTTCATGCCTAATTGATGCTTTGTAAAGGCGCATAAAGCGCTGAATTTTTTGGCTCATTTATCCCTAATTTTTTCTTAGGGAATATGGTTCAGCCCAACAATATCAAGTCTGACCTACCTCCGAAGCAAACACAGCGCAATGTTTTAAGACGGTCCAATTCTAACAGTGTTGACAAAAATTCAGATAATAACGATATAACCACGGGCACAGCCTCAATGTAGTGAATCAAACACTTAGGACATCAGTTTCTTGAGGGGATCTTGAGGGGAGTAATGATTACCAAGTTTTTGTCGAAGATTCCTGTCATGTAATGGATAACAAGATGTAAAGATTTTTGTGCAACGGACTCCAGTTCACCTGTAGCGTTAGAAAGAAACTTGAAATGTCGAGTTAGTCATGAAAATTTAAAACTTAATAAAGTCCTAGATAAGGGAATTTTTTCGACTTAGCAGTGAAACACTAGAGGCACGAAGCTGGTTCTTAGTTGCCTAACCATAGCATAATTGAATATCATATTTGGCGTAGAAAATGATAATTGTATAAGACGAATATGATTGTCTTGTTTGATCTATACACACTATATATTTTCTTTTTCATACCTAGTAAGTGAATGACTTTCTATCAATGTATACTATCAATTTTCTACATTTTTACATCTGACTGTACCTCTTTCCCCAAACTTTGCATGCATTTTTTTATCCGTCCTGCAAACAGACAGATACTTTTGATCGCATGGTTTTTATTTGGTTGGCTATCAAGAAAAATATTGTGATGGGTAGCGCTTTATGTATGGAACAAATTAAGACCGACATCTTAGGTGAATAAGAGTCAAGTTACTTGTTTATCCTGCATCACTCTTGACAAATAGTCCAGGTCCAAGTGTCCATTCGGATGAAGCATGATCAAGGCGGCACCTATAGTCATTGGACTTAATAATTCCTCCATGTGAACATCAAATGAACACTGCGCTAGTTGTATAATATTATCAGTAGAAGAAAATAAGTTCAAATAGCACATCGCGTCGGCATACGACTTGAAATTCGAATGACGAATTCGCACTGCCTTCGGTGTACCTGTTGAGCCAGACGTGAATATAACATAAACGATATTATCAACTATCACGTTCACCTTCGACAGAACATCCAATGCAAAACTATCTTTACCCGCATGCTCATTTAGCAAAAACTGTTCGATATCCAAATAAGTATTAAACTTGTCATTTGTTTGTGAATGTGTTAGCACAAGTTGAGAATGAGTGTCACGAATCAACATTTGCAGTCGTTCTACAGCATCATTTGGATTCAATGGGCAATAAACTGCCCCACTAGTGATGATTGCAAAGGCCCCAATAACCATTTCGATTGACCGCTCAACACATTGACAAATGCTGTCGCCCACCCTGATGTTAAATTCGTTGAGTAAATGCATTGATAAACGTTGAACATAATATAATGTTTCACTGTATGTTAAAGATTGATCATCTAGATGAATGCATAGTTTTTGGGGATGCTCCATCGCGTGGCGAACAAATTCCTGATGGATACACTGAATTCCACCAAAATCAGTATATGTATCGTTTATATTCTGTATCAACTCTATTTCTTCTGGTAACAATAAAGACAGTTCACAGATAGGTTGTTTTTCAATATCGAAGGATAATGATAATTTTGTTGGCAAAAATAATTGTTCGAGTAATAACCGAAATCGATCAGTCATAATGGCGATTGTTCCTAGTTCAAATAAATCACAGGAATACTCGAATGAACCGAATAAACAGAGTTTGTTTGTAACACGAGAAATATTGGTTTTCAACGATAATGTTAAGTCGATCTGCCCCGTGTTTCGAGAACGTAAGATATCATTGTCGTTGTAGATTTTGCATTTGGTATCTAGGAGTTTTATAGGAGTGTCCTGAGTATTTTCATAGGTAAATAACGTTTGGGGGAATTGTTGTATTTGAGAGTTTTCTGAGGTATTGGAACGCACTAGCTTCATTATTTCCTGAAATGGCAAATAAGAGTATTTATGAGTGTCAACCCATTCTTTTTTCATTTTTTCAACTAAATCTTTGAAATTTGTTCTGGAGTCAATGAAAGACGAGCGGTAAGGCACAATGTTGATAAAGGTTCCAATCACATTTACGAATTTTGAGTTAGGATGGCTTGCATTAAGACCACCAATGCAAATATCATTTTCGTGTGTTATTTTGTGTAAAAATAAACTATAACATGTTAACAATAATTGAAACATAGACACATTACAGTCCATGGAAAATTTGATGATATTCTCTGTTAATATTTCGGTAAGTTCAATCGATGAATTACCTTCCATCGTAGAACGTTTTTCGCTTAGTTTTTCTGGATGATCGTATGGTAATGGTATCAATTTTGTAGCATCAAAGTCTCTTAGCATATTGTGCCAGTATTTCCTTCCTTCGTTTATCGTCAAGTCCAAGGGATGATCGTTTAGTATTTGTTTCTCTTTGGTCGCGTAATCAAGATAGCTTACCATGTTCGTTATGCTTTCTAGCGTATCCATATAAGCATCTTGCAAATCTTTAAAAAAGGATTTTATTGAAAGCCTATCCACTGCAACACGGTGAAAATTGAATATAATATAGTCTCCGGTATCTAACATATCATCACTTTTACTATTGTATTTCACAATATGACATTTCAAAACAATACCCGTTTCTATATTAAAATGGTTACCGTTAGTTTCGAACTCAACTATTTGATCAAATTCTTCCGTTGTTGATACCCGCGTAAACTGAAATGAATAATAATCATCATGATTAACATCGATCACACTTGACGTGAATTTGAATGATTGCTTTAAGCATTTTTCCTCGTTGTTATAATTCAATGACGTACGGAATAGTGCATGTTTTCGAATAACATTCAATATAGCAGTTCGTACACGGTTAATAGAAATATCCTCATTTGTAATTTCACATAACACAGGAATACTGTAAACGGACAACAGAATCTGACAAACATGGATGTTTAGCCAGACTCTTTCTTCAGCTGAGGAGGCAACACTGACAGAAGTATTGTTGTCATTTTGTGTAGCGTTACCTTGCTGGTCACCGTTAAACTGTTTTTCTTGATGTGGGCGGCCCGAGTTAACTTCGAACGAAGTATGAAAAGTGTTTGAATTCATAGAACTCGATGACTTGTAAAAAAAACTGTCTTTTTGATTTCCAGAATTTAATACGATAAAATCTAAAATATCAATGAAGCTTTCTTATCTACTACATTTTAATTAGCTAGGATAAAATAATACTAAACCTCTAAATAAATATGACCTGCATTTTAGCACCAAAGACTTTCCACATCAGTAGTAATCCGATCTCTAAAAGTATGGAATTTGTCTGAATAACTTGTTTAATAATACTCTGCATAACACAGTTAGTGTATCAGGAAGGTCTATCCTTTACTAACGATGGAACCCCCTCGAATGATCCCCTCTGATTTCAGTGATTTTTCTTCTACCCTCGCTACGGCTTACTTTTAAGCAAAAAACCATTGAAATCGAAGGGGAGCACCTGCGGAGGTTTCCTTGCATGTCTGTTACACAATAGAACGAAATGTAAGTTCTGCAGAATGAATATATAATGCAGAATACAAAAGAAATATCACATAAATATAAATAATGAGAGAGCGATAGACAATGCATTAAGAGAGAGTCCGAATATGAGTGGTGAGAATGAGGAAACCAATATAAAGATAGGTCATATTTTCGTTTAAAGCCACCCAGACAAGCACTGTCGAAGGCTTTCACGAGGCATAGACAAGTACAAACCATTTGCATTTCGTTGCTCAATTTAATCGAGCCCACAGCAAGCAG